AGAAAGCAACAATGGACCCAGTATCGTCGGGGCAGAACTGCTGATGGATATCCTCGATAATATGTACTAGTTTGGCCCATTGTATCATCACTTTATCCGAGGGCAATGCATCCGATGACTTCTCCAATATTTCTACACACTCATCCATATACGGAGTCCAGCGTACGAGAAGGGTGCGTCGCAAAGAGGCAGCAACCCTACAGATGTCAGAAACCGGTTCTCACAGTCAGTCTCGAAAGGGTAATGCTTACTGCACGGCTAGAAAATAACAACCCAACCACGCCCGTCTAGCCTCCGCCGAATCAGGGTCCTGAGACGGCGATTTTTTCAATATAAGGTCTTTGACCAAGGTCCATGGACGACTCTTTGGCATCGGCCTACGGTACATCCCGATATCCATCGCTAACGTCACAGCCATATGACTCAACTGGTAAAACTTCAGCTCTTCAAAATGGTCCGGCGGGATGTACCAGTTGCAGGTCACAAGAAGTCCCTGAATTAAATCCAGTGACTTTTCGCCTTTCACCACGACGCGTTCCGCAATGACCCTGTAGAAGTCTTCAATAAGGGGAATCTGTAATTCAGGCTGAATAGGCCCCACGGCTGTAGCGATGATGGCATGGAGTAACACCGGTTTGGTCTTCCGGACGTCTGCTATCGTGACTCCAGGAGGGAAGACTACCATCGGGATATGGGGCGCCATATGCTTCACATATCTGTTGAAAGATTCCGATGCTACGTCCGCACTCACAAGGCATCGGTCAATCACATCGAGGGGCTCATTTGCTGCGTTCGGTTTCGGCGCTGTGGTATCTGAGCCGGAGCTTGGACGAGCATGCCATTGCCTAGACGTATTTTCTAAGATCTGCTCTGTAGCAGGGCTTGGAGCACGGTAGAATGAGGGTCCCACCAGACCACTGTCCCTTGGGTCCTTAATCTCCCCGCTATGTCGCCGTTTTTTTCCCGCCAGGCCGGTGGGCTCCCCCACCGGTAGAGAACCAGTCGACGCGGTATGAGTTGGCCCCAACCATCGTCTTCCAGTGTGCTCCTCACGCGGCGGACCTGGGTAGGCTGTTTGTAGCGTTGGCCCATTACCCTGAGAGGCCTGTAAGCTTGCCGTCAGCGCGTCAATCTTCCGCTCTAATTCTGCGACGCGACTATCCGTCTTCTTTTGGCGTCGACGGGTTGGGACCGTAACGACACAGGATCTTCCAGCCTTGGCACACCGTTTACAGGAGGCGTTCGGGTTGCTCATGTCAGGTTCGCACCGGACTTTCAACTGCCGACATGATTCGCATGCGCGTGGTCGTTTCAGCTCTGCATAAGGATCGTTGGGATCGATCGAGTCGAGCCTTTGTGTACTACCAATGATGCTCCCAGGGCTCGCTTGGTATAGAGCATGATTGGACTGAGGTTGTGTGGTTGAGCTGCCGTAGTAGCCGGGACCGCTAGAGGTCGAGGCCGCAGAATGCAGCTGTGCATTCGGTGAGACCTGGGACGGAGGGTCGGGGTAGTCATGCGTCGGATGGGAGGATAGAGGAGCGGGATCGGCTTGTCGAGTGGCAGGTGACGGGAGGTAAGCATGGTTCGTTCCGACTCCCTCTGGAGGGCTGCTATCGCTGCCCGGACGCAGGCGCGGATCGATCTCCATCAGTTGCGGGGACTGGAGTGGATATGTCACCGTCAGCACGTCGGCCTCTCGACCGCGGCAACATGATGATGAGGTTGGCGATGGGGACTATTCTCAAATGCAGCAGGCGACGCAAGAGGATACGGAGTGGCCAAGGTAAATCAAACGGGACAGAACGTAATATGACTTACCTGAGAGCAGTTAGACTGTGGAACAATGTATGTCTGTTGATGGAGCTGCTGGCGTGCAGTCGGCAGAATCGGCGACCGATGACCGACAGCGGCTGATCAGTTCCCACTAGTCTGTTTTTGGGTTGCTCCCGCACTATACTACTTCGATACAGATCCTGCCAGATCATTGATGAGGCTTAACCCTACACCCTGTTTTCACCTATAGATTACGGTGGCATTCAAGCTGTAGGACGTCATCTAAACTGTATGTAGATTCCATTTTTTTGAAATGTGTAAATCTACCTGGGGCCCAATGCGGACTGCACAAAGGATATATCGATACCGCCGTAGGATATAGAGATATAGATCTGAGATGGCAATTCGAAAGTGAACACACATATCATGGTAGAGAGTAGAACGCCACCTACAGATTGCCAACAAGCCAACAAGGGAGATTAGAAATGAACGCCCGCTCGAACGGTTGCGAAAGAGATATCCAGCATGGAACTTGCGCCATAAACCCATAACCAACGCCATATTGTCAACTCAAGCTGATGAGAAGAGAAGGGTCCACAAAAGCATAGAAATAAAGAGATACGAACCAGCGAGAGAGTGAGAAACCCAAGAAAGCAAAACATATACAAATCACTCAGGACACTTTATGTACCGGGCACTCCTTCTTTCGCTCGAACCATTCGACAATGCACCTTTTGTGGAACTTGCAGAGACATTCTAGTCGGACCAACGGCTGGCCAACCTCATACTCTTCCATGCAAATAGTGCATTCCTGCGCACTGCCATCATGCCCAAGACAATCCTTCTCGGTAGCCGTAAAGGCGAGCATTCGCACAGGGGTAGAAGACTGCGCAACGGGACTGCTACTGTGGGAGGACGAGCGCGCTCGGGAGCCATGACTTTCGATGCACTGCCTGATATGTGCCTCGCGAGCATCCTCGTTCCCGTTCATATCCAGAGGCGGTAGAACATGATCACAAATAGGGCAAAGGTCTCGCTCGTCCACACGGCGACGGGGAGCGGAGATAGGTAAACGTACCTCCTGGTCGGCAGATGTAGCGAACGACGGTCCAGCCGACAGCATCGCACTGCCTGGCGCCAGAGGAAGAGGCCGTCCCGATGTTATCGTCGACGAGGCAAATCGAGCTGCTGATAAAGAACCGTACTCCATTGGCCGTTCTTGGAATCGCGAGCCTAAGGACCCCCCGAAGCCGCCGTAGAGATGATAGTCACTCGACCCCACTGTCCTGCGGGCTGAACGGGAAGAGAAATTGTCGGGCTACAAATGATTATCTTCAGTCAGTCACGGAAACATTTCCCGACATATAAAAGGTTAAGAAACTTACGATCGAGGCGTACGGCGGATGGCGGGCCGGTGATGAGAGGGAATGGTAAGCGCGGTGACGGGATTGGTTGGTTGATGCACTAAAACTGCCCCGTATATAATCTGTACCTGACTGGGGCTCGCCTGGAGCCCGGATGGTTGTATATCCACGCGGTGGTTCTGGGTTCGGGTCTGGAACGCAAGGGTTGCATAAGCGCACCTCCTCGCCACCTCCAAGAGCTGGGTTAAGGGCGGTCGGTGATTGAGCCGAGTCATCTCCTTCTAGATCAACGAGCGGCGCTACACGTGGTGTGATCAGCGTGGATGCACGGGAACGGTTGGTGTCTGGCGGATGGACAATAAATTGTCTCGGAATTGTGATCCGGTGAGGTGAACATGACGCGCACACCACCCGTCCACATTTGCGACAGTGATGTTTCCTGTACCAGAAACTGAACGGTGTTCGACAGATCGGACAACTTGTCACCTCCGAGTCGGGCTGCCACCGCGGCCGTATATACTCTAGATAGTCATTTCCCGCTCGTGACCAGGAGGTTCGGCGGTCATTTGACCGCTGACGCTGGCCTGGGGGCGACGATGACAAGTCGATAGGCGTGGAGTAGGACGCACCAGGCGCAGAGCTTTCGTGTCGCATCGACGACGCCGCACTGGGAATAGGCCTGCTATCCATCTGTGCTGTTATACGCCCTCCCGATTCAATCGCACTGCCAGATACTGACTGTCTCGACCAGACATCCCCCTCCGCATTGACTAATCTTCTTTTTCGATCCGGGCCAGTTACAGTGGAGCGCCTTCTCCCAGAGCGTCTGTCAAAAGCAGGACCAGCCTCGCTTGTCATGGCGGTATCGGAGGTCGCATGGGGTCTGAATCCAGCGGGATGCCCCAGGGCGGAATATGCGGTAGAAGCACCTACTGGTGCAGAAGTCGGGACAGAACTCGACGATGATGACGACATCAACCAAGGGTGTGGAGTGAATAACGAATTCAACGTTGGCTGTTTTCCTATCGCTGGAGAAATCAACCTCCGCCGTTTAGATGACGGGCCGTCATGGACTGTGTGGCGCAACGATTCCAGGGCGAAGAACACGAAGGACAGAAGTAACGAAGACGGACACGAACACTTAGAGATTGGTTTCGGGTTGGAAAAGCAAGCACTGGTGTCAGCCCCACGACGATTGGTTTCGTTCAAGGGAATAGAAGGCAGGGGCGACAAGGGGTGACCGAGCCAGTAATCAAGGGCTTATCAAGTGCGGTTCAGGGCGGAGAGGGAGTTTCCCAAGATTCGGTGTTGATGGCAAATAAGTAGAAGTGACTCGAGGAGTGGGTGTCTCGTGACACCACAAATACAGAGCGCTAAAGGGGGAAAATAAAGAAGAAGGAACGAGAATTGCACACTGAAGTCACGCTTGAATAAAATACGAAGTGAAGGCGAAAGAGAGGGAAAAATGCAGAAAGAAAAAGAGGGTGAGAGAGAGTCCAGGTTAGTTAGTAGTTGTCAGGCAAGTGTGCCTTACGATTAACCCGCCTTTCCTATTATTCTTCGCCGCGGGGCAACTGGAAAGATAGCAGTCCAAAATTCTAAGGCACCAAACACCCACGAGACTGCAGCACCGTGTGACCTCCCAATGAATTCTAAATCATGGTGCAGTCCCGGTAAGAATCCTTTATATCCTGCAAAATTTTCAACCTCGAGGGTCAGATGCCTTTTCCCCCTTGCTGAGGTAATAAGGAAATCTTCCAATTGTCAGGGTCTACGAAACTTTGATACCAATAGCGTTTGCCACTTCGGCTTATCATAACGGATACTGATCCACACTTGCTTCTGGATGGATACCCATAATAACGAATTTGATGCTAACCTCGTGATTTTTGGGCTATATAGCTAGAAAAGTACCATCCCATTATTCCAGTCGAGCTGGCCGATCCTAATTTCACGGTAGTTAAAAGAAACTATTCTCGAATACTTCATACATGAATTGAACGCTCCACAATATACAAGACGAAGAGCTTCTGAATTAGAAGGCTTTTCCCGGTCACGATTAGCTGCCCTTGCAGGCACAATGGAATGCCCTCGAATTAAGCATAGAGAAAATAGGGCAGAAAAAGTAAGAAAAGAAAGTGAAGACATGGTAGGACGGGTAGGTATTTTGCAGATCGTGGTGTATATGTAACGGAGATCCAAACGTATATCAGAACGCCAGGTACAGCTCTTTTCCGGTAGCACGAAACGAAGAATAGTAAAAGGAAATTCGTCACTTTGATATCAAATACAAATAGAACAGCGCAGAATATACATGCTGTCACATCGACGGATATATCGTTAGGATAGAAGTGCAACTTGGTGCACTGAAGATAGTGCTTCACTTGCAGCACAGGGCTTAATGACTTCCTTCAGGATGATGCGGCTCATCAACAAGCTCGGCAGCACTTCCAGTAAAAGAGGGTTCATCCGGGCTAGCTTCATGGATATAGTCCCGGGTGCGATGCTGGGCAACGTATCCCATGCTCGAGGGCCGGTCGGTACCATTCCCGTGATGCCGGCTTGAGGACGTTGACGCGGTTGTTGAGGCTATAGAGAAGTTGCGATCCCGCGAAGGGGAACTAGCAGCACTAAACGGCAATCGGCCGGTACCGGATGAGGAAGGATGTAACTGAGGAGCCGGGTAATGGGCCTCTTGCGAAACAGCTTTGGTCACAACGGGAAGAGATGCAGTGTCTTCCTCTAAAGCCAACGACCGAGAATCACGCCGAGAAGGTCGCGAAGCCTGTGGGGCTCCTGAAGGTGAGCTATGCTGGGAGCCGATGCGACTGGGCAGCTCAATAGCGCCACCGGACTCAACTTGAGGCAGGCTGATCAGCGCCTCGCGGGTTCGATTGTTGTCATCACTATCTGTATCTGGATATGATCGGTCGCTTCCTGAGACTCGACGGCTGTGCCCTGCGGTAGCCTGTTCGTCAGGCTCATCTCGATATGGTTCGTGGACATCATCCCCTTCAGGAAGCAGACCAGGTGGGGGCGCCCTTGCGCTGCGAACAACTTCGAATCCTTTACCGTTTTCCTTAGTCTTTCCTCGGAACAGGTTGCGGAAGAAGCCGGTGGCAGAAGATACAGGTCCAGTGGGATCTGCAGGGCCAGTCTTCAATTTACGCGTGCCGCTTTGCGACAGCGGCGGACCCCGGACACGGTAGTAGAAGTCGACCTCGCGAACAGCGTAATCTTTGCGGGATTGTCGAGGATCATCCAGATCGAGATCGTCTTTCGGCGCAGGAATGTAGGCTGGCACGGGGGTAGCCCGCCCAGACATGGGGCCCTCGATTATATCATCATCAGCGTCGCTGCCTGCTCGTGGCCGACCGCCCGTTCTACCTTTCTCGCCTCCACTCATATCCACTCTCTTATTGCGAGGCCTGGGAGGTCTGTAGTACGGATCGTGCGCTTGCATGGCAATAAGGGGACCGCTTTTCGGAGAATTACTTCCAGTTGTCTGGTAGCCTGCACCCTGGAAAGTAGGGTTGCTACCAGGCGTGGTGGGTGTAAATAGACCACTACTATTAGCCCGACTATGAGTACCTCCATGAGCACTGCCCGACTCGTAGAAGGCGCTGGTTCTGCCCTCACTCGCGGCTGCCCGATTCAGAAGCATTGCCGAGCTGCCCGAAAGGCTTCTGGGCCGTGACCCGTCAAACTGAGAAGACAATCGCTCGTCGGTGTGGGCTAGCATCGCAGCCTCAGAGCCCATGCTTTGGCGAGTTCCAACACTTCGTCTTGGCATACGCCGTGAGAGTTGCCGCATACCGAATACCTAGATCATTGTCAGCCTAGCACCCAGACGAGAAGACCAACGCTAGGAAAGGAAGGAATTGATAATACTATACATACCTTGACGAGGCCACCGCGGGTAACACCACCTTCGTAGCCTCCAGCACCGGCGAGTCGAGCTATAACTTCAACCAATGTCTGCAAGGCGTTCAAAAAGAACCCGAACACTAGAACGACTGCGTGTAAGAAGAGAATAACGTAGCCTATCCAACCACGGGCAGCCTGGGACACGCCTAAGGACGGAACAAAAACGACGCTCAAGAGGATTGTGAGAAACCGCACAATCGAGAAACAGGCGTGATAGAGGTTCATGGACGTCGGCGAAGGAAACGGGCGGAAAGCAACAAGCGTCAAAATGGCAACAACTTCGCAAATCGCCAGGAGCACTATTTGAGCAATCCCTGAAGGTTGAAGCGCACCGATCGCGACGCCGCGGGCAAACGACAGGAAGAGAGACACCACAGTAAAGGCGGCTGCATCATCGCAGAAAGTATTGTACAGTGGACCATACAGCAATACCGTCGGCAGATCGTCGAAGAGGTATGATTTGGGACGAGTGCTTGCGATCAACCGAATGACCCAGATTGCAAAAGCTATCATTATGAGAATGACCACGACGGCTAGAGCCACAGAGTATGCTGGAGATTCTCTAGCGATAACCAGTTGGAAAAAGGAGAGCGAAATGAGCGGTAAGAACAGATAATTACAGACGATTCGAATGACGTTACCAACGGTGAACGGCATGTTCTTAGAACGTAGGTCTTCCTCCGGAATATGGGCAAGTTCACGATGAAGCCACCGAAATGCAAAGGCGAGCTGGATAATGAGCGTGATCGCGACAACAACCGCAAGCAACCATATTATCATCCCCGGCCAGATATCCCGCGCCGACTCCATTCCAACATATTGTTGTAGAGTGTCCAGCCCGTAGGTACCGTTCACGGTGTATACACCATCCTTTACAGGATTCCGCTCATTCCCAGGACTTAGAAAGCTCTGGTTAAACATGAGGGTTGACCACGCAACCTGACTCACCACCGGTTGATAATAGCCGGGGTAGTTCAGCGACAATGCTCCTGTAAGTACTGCGAATTGCATATATTGTAGGCAGTCCCCGAACCCTGGCGTCACCAGGCGAAGGACATCTTCATCGCGGCCATAATTGCTTGTCCAGTGAAAGGGGTCCGTTGTCCCCCATGGACTGTATATTGCGGCGGTTACGGTCGCGACTCCTACGAGGATTAGGATAACAAGAGGGACATAAGCTAGCGCACTTTTCAGGGCCGATCCAAGATCTGGAGTGACATCAACTGATATACATCCTAGCTCAGTGGCCGCTGCATCGCCAGACTTGATTAAGAGAGTTGACGACAGGGTCGCAAAGCGATACGACGAGAGCATGTCATGTTGGACAGAGAAAGAGCGTAAAGAACTCAGGTCGCTCCTAATGATATTTAGGACATTTGGTTAGTTCCATAACGTTTGGACAGTGGTAAAGCCTGAATACTCACGCATTAGAGTAGAAGACAGGTCCCAGCGGGCACTCTCCTTGAATGATTGAGTCGCAGAACCTAGTTGGACCACTGTATGGAGAGAAGCTAACCACATCAACAGTCGTTATCAGGGTACTGTATTTGTTGTTGGCCGTATCCAGGTCCATGATCTTTCCCACCGTCGCGTTCGGGTTTGTCCACTGTGGATCATCGGGAGATGGATAGGACGACGACTGGTCGGCGGTCCCAGACACATTACCGTATACCGTGATGTTCAAGTTATGCAGCGAATTCGTCAAGTCGAATTTCACGGACACATCGAGCGGGACAAACTGGAGTTTCTGGGGTTTCGATGCGATGGTGGGCGCAGGCAAGCAATTGTCGAAGTTCACCAGAGCAGCATAGGCCGGAGACACCAGTATCACCAACAGTAGCATCAATCTCCACACTATCCCCCCGCCACCGGATCGAATCCAATGTCGTCGCGACGATCGCAAGCTATCCCACTCATCTTGTGACTGGAACGATGGCGTGTGTATGGAAACCCCAGGTGCGCGTCGGTCATGCCATCTCGCAAGTTGGTCTACGCACATCACGATCTTCCGGTATATGTAGGATGACCTCCTTGGGGAGGTCAGCCCCCTCGTAGACGATTTAATCCACGTTGTCCAACCAAGATCCGAGGATTTCTGAAGCTATCAGCGTCTGCCTAATCGGCTCGGTAAAGCCGCGAACTTCCAGGTGAACGGAGCGAACGGGAACAGTCTGGGGGAGAATCGGTTTGCAGAGGGGGTGGCGAAATAAGGTATCGCGATCGAAGGACCAAATAAGAATAGGAGTGAACTACTCCTCTCAATGCCCCGAAATGGAAATGTAGGGGATAGGGACCATAACTCCGAAAGTTGGCGGCGGGGAAGGGATTTCCAGGTCCAAAAAGCGCAAGCGGAGGTAAACAGTGAAGGAGCCCGGCAATGACTGTATGGACCACCGATAGGGATCCCTCGCTTTTTTGGCTTTTTTGTTTCTTTCCCTTTTTCTCACACAAATGAGCGCATTTACGAGTTAGAGCCACAGAAAAAAAAAAAAAAAAAAAAAGAAGTAAAAAAAAGTGAAAGGGAAAAAAACAAGGATGGAAATTGATTGGAATGTGAAGGCCAAAAAGCTTCCGT